AGCCGTGCCAGGTGCAGGGTCTGCTGGCTGGGTGCTGGCAGGCTTTCACCTGGCACAGGCACCGTAGCCAGCCCGTGCCCCTTTAACGGGTCCGGGGCCGGGAGGGGGGCAGACGAGTTTCCCTGGTGTTGGCCAACCAGGGAAACCTGGGGAGGGCTAGCCTCCCACTAGTTCGAATTAAGGGGCTACACACCCCTTAATTGGAACTAGTAAGTTTGAACTAGGCTTAATCCTCGTAAAATGAGGATTACCTAGTTCGAACTAAGCGCTCCGTTAGTTCGAATTAAATTCAAACTAACTGAGCGCTAGTGTAGCGCCTATCAAAGTTAGTTTGAACTAAAGTCCGTTAGTTCGAACTAACTTTGTAGTGTAGACATACCCGGAGATGTTAATTATGTAGTTGGAGTTGACATATCTTAAATCCCACCCCACAATGGGAGGTTGGTGAGAGCAAATGCCCATCAGTCTCTCTTACTCCTCCTGAGGCGCCAGAGTCCCAACACCAATGGAGGCACCCTCTCAGTTCAAATTAGCACGACTTCACTAGACCCAATAAATCAAACCCTGCAAGATTGATCGTGATAGCATTAATCTCTTGCCAAGTGTAGACCTGACCTGAGCGTGTGTGTAAAAGAAAGAAGGGGGCTGAAGGATGGGCCTGGGGCAAGGCCTGAGACCTGATCCAGAGTCAGAAAAATTATCTGACGAGCAGCAGCCATGGCCTCTCAAAGGCAGAAATGGCCTATTGGTCAGGAAGCAGCCCAAGGACTCGGCACAGAGACGGCTGGCCTGGCTGGAACACACTGACTGTGTAAACACACCCCAGCCGGCCAGCACAGAGACCCCCCCCAACCCTGCATCAGTCTTCACTGCAGAGTGAGTGGAGCAGCCCTCTGTTACTAGGGCTGGGGCAGGATGGTCCAGCCTGTTTCTATGAACCAGTCTGACATACCGAACATGTATCCACTCTAGACATGACAAAGGGACACTGGCAAATCTTTTTCTGCCAGAATCCTGGGAGCAGAAAGCCTTTTCCATCCTCCTTGGCTTCCATCACTCCAGCCCCACGTCACTGAGTAGCAGAAAGCCTTTTCCATCCTCCTTGGCATCCATCTCTCCAGCCCCACGTCACTGAGCCTCCACAGGGCGGCAGTGACTTTTTGGAAGCCAATGGACTGGATACGACCGCACGGGCCGCATGCAGCAGTGCACTGCTACCATGCACTGAACTGATTTGTGGGCTTGTATCATGTGGCAGCCTCCCCACCCGTAGTACATATTGCAAGGCCGTGTGCACAGACAGCCGGGCTGAGCATGGGGAAGGTCCAGCTTGGCCAGACAAACTGAGCCACCGTTAGCATAAAATTACTTCACTCCTGGGGGAGGCTTTCAAGCTGTGTCTCTCCAGGGTCTAATTTCTGCTCATGCCACCGTGCGCAGAGCTGAGGGAATTGTCTGGGAATCCCGGCCCACCTGGGAGCTCGCAGGGACTGAACAGGGGAGTCATAAATGTGACGGTTCAACTCACCAAGTGTCAGACCTGTGAGATTCACACACTGAGTCTCTTATCTCTGCCTCACTGCCACAGGAAGGAGATTTCCTCTCTCTGCTGAGCAGGATTGTGGTGAGTTGCTGCTTTCTGCATTAATGTTAGTGCTGAGATTTCAGAAGGGGTCCAGCATTCAAATCTAGAACCATCAGGGCAGGAATTCACCAGCACAGTGACTTGAGCTGTTTCAGGTTTTTTTTCCAGACACACCAGGGATTTGCCAGGTTAAGTTGTATTGTAAACAGTTTCTATCATTATCTGTCCTTAAAATCGGTCCCCAATATTTTACTGTGTCCTTCAGTCTCAGTAGC